TGCTACCAGAGCTCCCACTGTGAGTAGAGGTTAAATTTCCATGAAATAATATCATTTGTCAAGTTAAAATAATGCAACTTTTAATTTTAATGGTTTTGATCAACCTAAATTTATTTTTTTCACTATTGAGTAAGAGCTAAAAGCATAAGGAGGTTATACTAATTTTTATTGAATGTTTTATTTATTTAACTTATATCATGATAAGGAGCTCTGGTGGCACAGTGCCTAAGATATTTGACTGCTAACCAGAAGACTGGCAGTTCAAACCCACCAGCCACTTCTCAGAAGGAAAGTTGGGCAATCTACTTCTGTAGTGATGCTGCCTCGGAAACCCAAGGAGGGGTTGCTATGAGTCGGATCCGACTCGACAGCAGTGCTTTGCATTGTGTTATATCATGATAAAAATGGCTTGAGTCAACAACGGGAGCTCCTGAGAATTCTTTTTTTCTTCCGAAAAGGAGTTAACCATTCCCAAGTAGAGGATTGCTGTTGGAGTAAATCCCCCACATTCCTTGCTTTTTATTGACATGTCTATTATGATCACTTTAGAAGGGGAGCATAGTGGCTAAGGCACTTGACTGCTAACCAGAAGGCTGGCGGTTCAAACCCACCAGCCACTCCTTGGAAGGAAGATGGGGCAATCTACTTCTGTAGTGACGTTGTTGTTGTTGTTGTTGTTGTTATGTGCTGTCAAGTCAGACCCAACTCATAACGACCCCTCCTTGGGTTTCTGAGGCAGTATCACTACAGAAGTAGATTGCCCAATCTTCTTCTGAGGAGTGGTTGGTGGGTTGGAAACCCAAGGAGCGGTCGCTATGAGTTGGGTCCGACTCGACAGCACATAACAAGAACAACAACAGCTTAACTCTAAGGAGCTTTGGTGGTGCAGTGGTTAAAGCATTTGGCTGCTAACCAAAAGATTGCCAGTTCAAACCCACCAGCTGCTCTGCGGGAGAAATATGAGGCAGTCGGCCTCAATAGATTTACAGCTTTGGAAACACTAAGAGACAGTCTTACTCTGTCCTATAGAGTCGCTATGAGTTGGAATCTACTTGATGGCAGTGGATTTGGTTTGAACTTTAACTCTTGTTTCTTTTTGAGCCTTGGAATACTTTCTCACTATTAAACATTACAGAAATTTTCATGTTGGGTGCTAGCAAATCCTAGGATATAACACCTATGCTTAAGAACTATTAACTTGTCAGGTGATTATCCACACGTTTTAAAGAAAGCAACAAAACTTCCCCTTCACAAAGGGGACATTGAAAAGTTTTCAAAAATATTTTGTTTCTTTGGTTGCTTTTTGAGCCCCTTTATATAATTACTGAGTTTTTGAAAGAGACTTTGGGGCCACGTTTCATACCTAATGTACAAAAAATAAAGCCAACTGAAAATCAATGAGGAAGTATTTCTCGAATTATATGTCTACAAATAAAGAAAATTCAATCTCTACAAATGGAATTTGCTTTAATATTTTCTAATAGTAGATCTGTTATAAAGTATTTTGTTACATGAGAAGCTTTTTCTTTGTTTGTTTGGCTGTTGGGCTTCTCTAACTCTTAACCAAGTGGATAAAGGTTTTTCTTCATATGATTTTCAAAATGTGAAGGTTTATAAATTGGAAACCAATTTTTAATGAACCTTATGCCAATGTCTTTGAGTTCTTCTGGCAAGGGGAGTAAAGCTTACCATTTACCTAAGACTCATAAAGGATTCTTTGGAATGAGAATTACAAGTTCATACTTATACCACATGTTAAGATGGCAATGTTTTTTCTAACACTCATAAAATCTCAACTGCTTTTCATCTCCCCTACAATTTTTCTTGATTGCTTTGCAAAAGACTCAGAGTAACTAAGAGGAGAATCATGTCAAGAGGAAGGTGTTGAGTAAATGACACGAAATCCAAAAACTGCTAATGGGGACCATTTTGAACCAAGAACTACCACATCTCCACCTGTATCTCACATACTCTTCAGACACCTTGTACTTCTGGTCATATTGTCCTGTTAAACCACATACACGAGCAAGAGTAGCATTTTTATTATACAATTGTTCTTACACACACACACACACAGAGGAATAATTTTGTTATGCAGTTGTTCTAATGCAATTATGCCATTAAAACCCCAGTGAGTAGCAAAGTTGTGCAGATTAGATTGGCTTAGCCATATTTTAGGTCAGGGGACAAAACCCAAGATGTAGCCTCCTATGCAACATTCCTTCCTTCACTTGGCAAAGCAGAAAGGGCCTGGACAGCAGGCAAAGCTTTTCTGCAACACTACCTAGAAATACTTTGCTCATCCTGTAGTCTTGCTACTGCATTCCTTAACAACCCAGAGATCAGTAGAGTAAGTAGCCTAACAAAAGGTAAATAGTAGATGTTGAAGGAAGCATGTCCACCACACTGATCACCAGAAGTTAAGTGTTTCTGAGACAAGAGATGTTAGGGAACAGAGTTCTATCACAAGTGCTAAGTTATTAAAAGCACAACAATTAAAGTCAATATTTACAGACCTTTTCTCCTCAGAGCTGACTGTTTGATAGTGGCAATGATAGGGTCTACTTGTACAAATGTAAAAAAAGCTGTGCCACCAGATGTGTCAATGTTCATATTTTAAGATGATTCAGCTGATCGTGTCTTCATCTGTGGCTGTCAGATGACCAGCAATTCTTTCCGCTTCACACAATGTGGCAAATGAGTGTAGCTGCAACTGTTCACTTAATAACGCAATACCCTCTACTATATTGTCTCTCAAAGTTCCTCACCTGAGGTACCTGCTAAAAATGCATATTTCAGGGTCTCATCTCAGAACTATCAAATCAGAATCTCTGGGCATTGTCAACAGTCCTTGCAGATAATTCTTAACCCTGTTAAAGTCTGAGAGCCAAAGTTCTATGGGATGTTTTTATATCCTATGTTGCTCTGCCCAACAGCAAAGAGAACAAAGAATGTATATATGCCAGGCTTTACTGACCTTGTGAAAGCTTCCATAGAAAATTTTCCTAATTTCAGGTCCTTCAAAAGTAACTGTTTGAAAATCCCCACTGTAGTCATAGTTGAAATATGTTAGAGTTTTCCCACCATCTGTTCAAACACAGAAAAATTAAAAGATTTTAGAAATAATTATAATGGGTAATTCTTCTAAAATTGAACTCAAGATTGAAAATGGCACATGTATTGTTTTGAAACTGTGTTTAAAGTTAAGAGTAAGTAAATGAGCCACATTCCTTGGGTTGCCCTAGGCTTTCACTTGGCTACATTAACTTGACCATGGTGAGGCAAAGAACTATACATTCTTCCTCAGTACCTCCTTGACTGTGCTCTCAGCCTATCACCCACAGTTGTCTGGAGCTGGAAGCAGAGGCGGGCAAAGAGAGAAAATGATGTTAATCAGCTCTTACAAAGTAGAAATCAGGCCCTTTCCCTCAACACAGCAATCAACTTGCCCAGGACATGCACTGTGTACCACCTCAAAAGAAAGTGATATCCCAACATATCTTTTATTATGAGGCAATAAACAAATAAGTAAAAATGTTCCAAATCTTGACTTCTTCATACTACAAGTGACACTTCATAATAAAGAAAAATATTTTCATCATTCATTCATCCTCAGATGGCAATTTAATTCTCACTCTGCTTTCAAAAGGAACAAGTTAATCATAATTATTCTGAGAAGCTCCACTGTTTTTAAGCCCTGGGTGTACATGGACTTAGCAATTCATGCTCTTCTAACTTACAGCTTCTACTTAGTTTCAATATCGATGCAAACTGCCTTCACAGTATTATATTTAGCTGTTATTCATTTCCATGTATGGAAAAGTCCTTTCACAAATACTAGCTGGAAAGAAGCTTAAAATGGTTTCCTTATCCAAATGTTTGACAGCTGCTATTGCTCCTCCTTCAGTCCTCTTTAACTTAGTAATTATCCATCTTGAGCTCATTGCTGGCCCAAATTAGGCACTCAGTGGATATTTGTTGAAGGAATGAATCAGTCAACGAGCTCATCAATAATAACATAACTCATTGTTTAGTATCTACATATAACATAAATGAGTTTCTATATACAAAAATCATGCATGATGGCCTACTGACTGTATTACTCATATACAGTACATATGTGCAAATGTTATATAAATAAATAGACTTACTATCTAAAATCACCCCAACCAATGGGTCAGAATTTTTATTTAAGATCTCCCAAAGAGCAAATGGTTCCTCTGGAGTGTCAGGAAGAATTCGGAATAGGAAAGTGAGGGTATAATCAGAGGGCAATCCTTCTGGATGTAAATACCTGAAGTGGAAAGAAATTAATATTTTACTGCAACCTTCCTCAAAAAGGTATTGATCTGATTATAAACCATATACATTTTCATTATACAAGATGTGAAAACATTTAGAAAACAGAAAAGAATAAAATAATAGACAACAATTAGACCTATCCAGAGGTAAGCTCTGTTTTGGTGTGGTCAATTGCCCTCCAGTCTTCAAAGAATGTGGTAAGCATTTGTACAATTTATGGCACTTTGTCCTTTCTTCTTCTTTTTCTTTCTTAGAAGCATTTAATAAGCATCCCTCATCTTCTCTATCTATGCCTTCTCCTTTACTAATGTCTTAACAAGGCCTGGTCCTTCCCACATGAAAACCTGAAGGAGAAAAGAAGAACCAGCTCTAAAAAGAAACAACTAGTCATGCAGGAAGACACTCAAGAGAATGTGTGTCCCAGAAGTCAAGTCAGGTGAGTGAATCCAAGAGAAAGCGATCAACCATGTCAACTGCCGATGACAGGCTAAGTAAGATGAGGGCTTGGACCACATGACTGGATTCAGCAAGGTGGAGGGCACTGTTGACTTGATGAGTAGGTCCAATGGAGTAGTGTGTGTGAGAGGGGTCCCTTTGGCAAGTCTTATTTTTGGCTAGGCTCATTTTGTCTAGGCACTTGACTGCTAACCAGAAGGCTGGTGCTTCAAACCCACCAGCCACTCCTCAGAAGGAAGATGGGGCAATCTACTTCCATAGTGATACTGCCTCAGAAACCCAAGGAGGGGTCGCTATGAGTTGGGTCTGACTTGACGGCACATAACTACAACAACAACAACAGGCTTCCAGGAATACTCATTTTAAAACTCATTTCATGAGACAGTGTGAAAAGTCCTGACAAAAGTAACATCAGATTTTGGTTTTACCTAAAATTATCTGTATTCCTTTGGTCAAAAACATATATAAGACTTTTCTAGAAAATGAAGCTATACCTTAATAAAAAATATTTTAAAATATTAGAAGTCATCCACCAATTTCAAATATTCTGTATAATAAAGGCAAGACACAACAAAAGAATTTGGATAGTACTGTTAAGAGTGAAAACTTACTAAGTAATATTTTGAAAGAATGTAGGAAAACTACCTTTTTATATGTTGGAAAATGAATATAATACTCTAATCACTCCCAATTTTTCATGTCAAAATTTTAACTCTGAAAGTTTTTCACATAAAATACTAAAGGCATTTTGAAACAAAAGCAAATATTGATTTGGAAGGTAAAACAGTTGATGACATCTTCAGAGATGGATGGTCCCTTAAACGCCTACCCTCAAGTATCTCCAGAGTCTGCAGATTTATTGCAAATGACTCCAGAAATCTCTATGTTCAACATGGCCTGTCAGTTAAGAGGCTAGCTAATGCGATTTTTACATAAACTTGATATATTCTTCAGCTCTATGGAGACACTGCTAAAAACAAACCGAACTCGCTGCCATTGAGTTGATCCAACTCATAGTGACCCCTCCTTAGGTTTCCAAAGTGGTATATGTCTAGGGAAGTAGATTGCCCAACCTTCCTTCCAAGGAGTGGCTGGTGGGTTTAAACCTCCAGCCTTCTGGTTAGCACTCAAATGCCTTAGACACTATGCTACCAGAGCTCCTTGGAGATGCTGTTGTGACTGCTCAAAGATGAAAATCATCTCATTCAGCACTAGTGTGTAATAGTTCAGGGTGTGGACCACAGAGCCCAACTGCTGGGGTACAAATTCTAGCACTGCAGCATAAGAAACTGCATCATCTCACTCAATTCATTTACCTTCATTGTGCTTGAGTTTCATCATTTGTAAAACTGAGATGGTGAATGAGTCTACTTCACAGAACTGTTTGGAATTTTGAGTGAGTTCATATACATAAAGCACTTAGAACAATGCTTGGCATGGAGTAGTATTATATAAGCCTTAATGATTATTATATCTTTTTTTCAGATCAACAAATACCAAAACTTAACACTATGTGTGAGTCTGATGTTTTTAAAGAAAGGAAACTAAACACCACTTTCTCTAAACATCATGGAAAACCATACTGTCTAACCATACTATCTAAACCAAACTCTAACTATCACAGCACATACCAAGTTGACAAAATTTTCACATTATGAAATAATAAACAAATGATTGGCTTTAATATCAGGTAATGGAAACCTACTTGGTTGGATGAGAAACCAGAGCATCCTTATGAAGTTGGTAACATGGATACATATTGAAGGTACCAGGCTCCATAGATACCCCTTGTACGGATGAAAAATCCTTTTCAACTAAACCAAACATTTCCATCATCTTAAATCCTAAGAAACAGAAAAGCAGAGAATTTGCACTTTCGGATTTTAAATTTCAAGTTTAGTCTATTAAAGAGAAAAGAAAAAAAAAAATAGACCAATATTGGGATTTATTTTATATACTTGCATTTGAAAAAACTGTGATCATGCATACCTGCAATATCAATGCCATCTTTGTGCACTAGTGGGCAGGCTGGAAAAAGAAAACAATATACAATCTTAATTTAGACATATTTCCAAGCACATTCTTTCCCCTTTCTGAGAATGGAAGCTAACATAATCTTTCTGGAAGTCAGTTATCTAGGGAATCCAAACCAAGGATAGTTATGGTTTTCTGTGGCTTTACCCAGATTTAAATGCTCTAACTGCCGCTATGAAAAGCAAAGGGCTGCCACTTCCTTCTCTTCTCCTGGACCCAATAAAATGAATGGTGGTCACTTATGAGTTTGTTTTGGGAGAAGACTCACTTTTAATGTGCTACCCTGCTGAACAGTCTTAATACATTTTTGAAAGTGACTTGTTACAGTTAAGTACCAAAACCCAAACCAAATCCACTACCATCAAGTCAATTCTGACTCACAGCAACCCTATAGGACAGAGTAGAAATGCCCCATAGGGTTTGCAAGGTTGTAAGTCTTTATGGAAGCAGACTGCCTCATCTTTCTCCCACCAAGTGGCTGGCAGATTGGAAGCACCAACCTTTGGTTAGCAGTCAATTGCTTTAAACACTACACCACCAGAGCTCCTTTCTTTAAGTACAGTTGCTTTTAAATGCAAACAGTCATCTTATTAGGGCAAGTTTTATCAACTTGAAACTAAAGTAGGTGTTGAGAGTGCCGTGTAATTTGCATATGCTCAAACCCCTTAACACTTAATGTCTACATAACAAACAGCTTTACAAGCCAATATTCCTTCCTCAAATCAAGATGTGACACATTATTTGACCAGTATTACATTGCAGCCTTGAAGCAACATAAGTACAAGTCCCAAAAAACTAACTTGCTGATGCGGTTTCACAGACGAAAGTAATCAACTCATTTTCAATTTTCTTAAAGGCGTCAAAGTCATCCACAAAGAAGACATGGCGGGCACTGGGCTTACTGCCAATGCTAACCAACTCTGAGTAATCGGCATCCGCCACACCAATCGCAAAAATGTTGTAGCCTGTGGCAGAAGGGAATAGATTTCTGATTACTTTAAATTGCACCAAATACATATAATGCAATATAAGTCAAATCCAAATGTTTAAAATATGTTTACTCAGGGGGATTTGATGGGAGTGGAAAATTCATTCTTTATAGTTGATCAGAATTCTACATGCATGTATTTCATTATATGGTAATTATGCCATCATCCCCTAAAGTAATTTTCCATTTTAAATTAATTCAAGAAAACTAATGGCTAGAGACAAAATAGTTGCCATTTGAATAACATTTTTATTTTTGCGTATATCAACAGCTATTTTAAGGTTCACGGGATGAGTGGAGTTGAAACAGAGACACTGAGTTTAATCTCAGTATTTTACTTTTTTTTTCCTAGTACAAACTGAGATGTTCATGGGCACAATTCAATGCTTCACAAATAGATAGTAAACCACTATCTGCCACACATATTTTACATCATTTAATCTTCATGACTGTCCTCGAGTCTGTCCATTTTACATATAAGGAGGCTGAGGAGTTTCTAGGATGTAGGTTCTTCTCCCTAGCCTTTCATAACAGTGCTTTATAAGAGTATTGCACTTAAGAGTATACAGAGGGCAAAGATATAATGAAACACTGGAATGAATTGCTGGGCCCCAAGGCTCAGGACCATAGTCTTGGGGGACCTCAAAGTCAACTGGAATAACATAGACCACAAAGACAGTGTTCTACATGTTACTTTGGTGAGTAGTGACTGGGGTCTTAAAAACCTTACAAGTGACCATCTAAGGTGCAAGTATTGATTTCTGCTCATCTGGAGCCAAGAAGAGTGAAGAAAATTAAAGACATATGGAAAAAAATTAGTCCAAAGGACGAATTCATCCAGTACCCTGAGACCAGAAGAACTAGATGGTGCCCAGCTACCACTACCTATCACTTTGAAAGGATCATAATAGAAGATCCTGGATAGAGTGGGAGAAAAAGTATGGAACAGGGGGTTCTGGCAAGATGGCGGACTAGGCACAAGGACTGCACAGACACTCTTCAACAAAGAAAAG